ACCTCGATACGGGGAGCGGCAGGGGCCGAGGACCCCAGAGCCTTCTCCACTCCTGGGACCCTGTTCTTGGGATCTCCTCCTCTGGCATCCCCGCTTCTGGGACCCAGTTCCTGGCACCCTCTTCTCCAGCATCCTGGTTTCTTGGATCCCCGCTTCCATTCCCTCTCTGCCATCCCGGCTGCTGGGGTACCCATTTCAGGGATTCCTGTTCCTGGGCTCTCTGCCCCAGGATCCCGGCTCCCGGCATCCCTGCTCCAGGCACTCCCTCTCTTGGCATGGCGGTGCGGTGGCCCTGGCAGTGGCCTGGGTCCGGAGAGCCCCCCAGCCCAGTGCTGGCCCGGGCCCGACCCCAGCTCTGAGCATCCTTCCAGCTCCAGCTCTAGATAATTTAAAGAAATAATCACTGGTGGAGGGGAAAGTGAAGAGCTCAGAGGGACACGGGGCAGAGTGCAGAGCTGAAAGAAATAGTGCTAGCAACCCCTCTCCCCCCAGGTCCCCACGGTCCCCAGGCTCCCACGGGGACCATGGCTTGGAACGGGGTGGGTGGGTGATGGCTTGGCTGTGTCCCCCAGCACCCCCAGCTCCACACAGAGGCTGTGTTATCGGTGCCTCAGTTTACCCCCTCCAGGCATGCACAGGACCCGTGGTGAAGGTGGCATGGCTGCAGCCCTCCCCTCGCCCCCCGCTCTCGCTGCATCCCACTGTTGGGCACCCTGATACACGCGGTGCCATCCCTGCCATGAAAGCTGGAGGTACATGGGTGTCCACAGGCTGGTGTCTTCACTGGAAACATCCACAGCAGAGCCCAGACCAGCAAGGGGCATGGCATCATAAGCTGTGAAGAGCCAGCCAGGCACTGGGACAGCACCTGAAAGGGGAAGCAAGGAGAAGGAAGAATGAACAGACCTCGGCACTCAGCTTCTCGGAAGTGCAGTCACGGGTTGTTCTGCACCATGAGATGCTGCTCAGCGTTTGCAAGCTGTAGTTTCTGGTTCACGTGCAGCCTGGTACATCACTCCCTGCCCTTCGGCTGCTCCTACCCCCAGGGTCTTGCCCACCTGGCCGAGGCAGGCACACAGCGAGGGCAAGTGAGGCTGCAGGGACATGCAGGTGACAAGGTGTTGGCGCTGTTGGCACACCATGTGCTGCCAGGTGTGTGGAGGAGGGTGTGATCACAGCCCTGGGGAGCTGCTACCACGTTTTTATAATCTTGACCTTTCCAGTTTTCCCAGCTCCTGCTCTGTGGGAAACCTCCCTCTCCCCAGACCCTCAGGGTCCCCAAGGACACTCATGGTGGGTCTCACGGGATACTTGCTTTGGGGGCTCACAGCCACTGTTTCCTCCCCATTCTGGGCCAGCTGCTTCCCAGGAGTGGGGAATTAGCTCCAAACCACATTTCATCCCACAGGCACCCATCACTGCCACACACAGGCAATTCCAGTTAACGAGCATCAAATTAATATAGTTGAGGGGCACTGTCACACCTCATCCATGAAGCTTTGGGGTGCTCCTGTGGGTGCGGGTTCCCACAGTGACCCCAGCTAAGCTGACAATCCTGGCAGACAAGGGGGAACCCAAGGGACCCCGAAAAACCTCCACTGCTGTCAGGAGGAGCAGCAGGGTCCCAACGGCACGCAGGCAGTGCTGGGGTCTGTGCTGGGGCTGGGATGTTCCAGCAGCCTCCGGGGGACAGACACTCCCAGACTCCCGTGGGTTTATGGGGTGATGAGACCCCAAGCAGAGAAGAAGGGAGGGGGTCCCTGCAGGGCTGGGCAGGACCCAGCGGACCCTCACAGCCCCAGGAGGGCAGAGACCAGTCCTTCCTCCTTGTTCCGATGGCACGTGGGTGTTTGGTGTGGGTTAAGGGGACTTGCAGAGGGTTTGTGGGGCTCAGCGAGGCTGGGGACAGTGAGGCCCATCCCCTCCACCCCACCGGTCCCAGCCCAGTCCCCCCGCATGACCGCAGCCACGAGGTGCAGCCACGTGCCAGGAACTGGGCAGCGTGTGTGACACTGGGACAGGGGGAGGAGGGGGGCGGTGTCTGGTCACCCGGCCATCCCCGCCTGCGTCCACCACCGCTGACTCGGGCCCAAACTGGAGCATCAGGTGGGGGCAGCCCCACATGGTTTCCCACTGCAGCCACCAAGCCTACAGGTAGCGGTGACCTACAGATAATCGATGACGAAGGTGAGGAAAAAGCGGGATAGACTTAGCAGATGTTGTGGAGAGTGCTAAAACTTGAGGATGGAGGACATAAGAAGCACCAGAACAGGGATGGAGGAGAGGTGGCCCTGGTTTGGGACACCTTTGGGGCGGGTAGGGAAGGATGTCTGCTCGGAGTGGGCAGTTTGGCTGCCAACGGTTTGGGTTTAGGGGTAAATCCTGGCAAGTGCAGAGGCATCACAAGGTGGGTGGCACAGTGTTGCCCCGCACTTTGTCCTGGCATAGCGATGGCTCCCCCTCATCCCACGCCACTGGAACCTACCCACCAGGCTGGCATTGTCCAGAGCCAATCCCACTGCAGAGCTGGCAGGGACCGGGGTCCAGGGCGGGGTGAGGGCCACATCTGCACAGGGACATCATTCCACGGCTCACACGGAGCAGGTGGGCTCATTCCCCGCCTCTGAGCCCGGCAGGTCAGCAATAATCATCGCAGGAGCCATCAGCATCGCTGTCGTGCTGAGGCCGGCCAGGCTCACGCTTGCAGACAGCTCTGCCCGCACAACGCGAGGGCAGTGAGCCCGACCCTGTGTGTGCCCCACGATCACCCTCACCGCCAGCGCCGGGTGCATTTCAGCCGTCCCCAGGATTATTGCAAACAGCAAATCAAAGCGCGCACTAATTTATCCAAGGAGAAACGCCTAGCACATTTCTGCAAGGTCCTCTGCCCGATGGCAAATCCGTGGCCTCCAGTTCACCTTCTGACCTGCCCTTATTCCCTTGCTCTGCCTTTAAACCATGTGACGGGAGGATTTGGCTTAACGTGTGTCGCTCCAGAAGGAAAGGAAGAGAAGGAGCTCAGAGGGCCCGGAGGTAATCGCTGGCTCCCTGCCCACGGCACAGGGGCGTTCCTGCGGCCGTGGGGCTGGATTAAGGCGGGCGCACACCCCGGTCCTCTCCCAAGCCCTGCTGCTTGCTGCTCCCCACGTCCCCAAGCCTCTCCATGCAGGTCAAGAGAGGTGGTTTGGAGAGGTTTAGCATTACAGGAGCAATCCCTCGGCTCTCCCCCAGTGCTGCCCAGTGCCTGCTCCATCCCGCCTACAGCCCGTCTCTGTGCCGCCCCTGCTCCGCGTGGGATGTAGGTCCTGTAACTGGTGAGACCCTCCCCGCGTCCTCTTCTCCGTGCCCCCAGGACCACCAGGCTGCACCAGTTGCGCCGTCGGGAAGAGCCGGCATCTGGCACAGCCGTCCGGCGTCAGCTCACGGGGCCCGACGTGTGCGCGCCAGCAGGCAACATCTGCCCTGGTCCCTCCCCCCGGCCCCCCGCAAGCGGCTGGGCACAGAGGGCAGAAAGGGCCAGCTGGAGCAGCCCAGCCGCTCGGGGCGGGGTTTGGGCAAGAATTAATTAACTTCAGGCTGGGGAGATGCGGGAGGGAGGGAATAGATGCGCACGGGGACCCTTCGCGAAGCCTGGGGGCTCGGTCGGGAGGCAGCGAGCAGCGTGGGCGCAGGTGGTGGAGGAGAACGCGAGTTCGGCGGCGGTGGAGTTGGAGGGCTCTGCCATGGAGGTACCTTGAAAAGGTGATTTCCAGCCGGAGGGATGGACCTGCCCAGGTCACCCCGACTCCATCCAAACTCATCTGTCTGAGCTTGCAGTTTAGCAGATGACAGAGGTTTAACCTTGCTGCCGCCAGATGCTTGGAGGGATCTCAGTGAGGAGGCAGCGGTTGCTGCAAGGGACTGGGGAGGGGGATGCAAGCCACTACCAACGCCTGCCACCCGTTGCCCCATCCCATCCCATCCCATCCCATCCCATCCCATCCCTGTCCCCAGACCACACACAGACACAAGCTGAGGCCACAGGAGCAAAGCCAGCCCCTCGCTCCGAAGGCCCGGAGCCCTGCGGAGTGCTCGGGGGAGTGCACCTGGGAGTCACTGTATGAGGCAGACCCCCCCCCCAAACTGGTGTGTCCATCTCCCAATGCAGAAAATAGGCTGCATGAGTCCCTGGCTGGTGCAAATTGGTGTTGCATGCCTGTGGTGGAGCAGGCACCTGCTGGCACAAATTGCTTTTGGAAAGCTTGTGCCAAATGCTTCCAAATGACTGCTCCAAAGCCAGGGCACCTGGTCACCGACTGGGTCCCCAGCACTGTCCCCCGCAGCCAAAATTGAGTCCCCAGTCAGTGCTAGTCCCTCAGTTCCCCATCCCAGTGCTGCGAGCAGGAGCAGCTCTGTTGGAGTTATTCCCGCCCAGTGCCAGGTCTGAGCTCCCTCCTCAGTTCTGTTTCCTCCACCGTCAGCATTGCCCCTCACCGCAGGCCCGGCTCTGGGGAGGTTTTGGCTGCCTGGACGTGGGGATTTGGGGCCCTCCCAGTGCAGGAGAGCTCTGTGGTGTTGTGCCCTGAGTCCCATCACCAGCCCAGGTCGTAACATGGGCTGAGGATCTCCTGAGGTCTCAGGTCCCACCCTCTGCTCAGATCGGCTTGCTCAGGTCCTTGTCCTGCCAGGTTGCAGCTAGCCCAGGGACAGAGGCAGCACAGCTTTTCCAGACCCCAGTTTGCATGTTAACAACGCTTGCAGTGAAGGGTTATTTTTCCTTATATCAAATCAGCCTTTTGATTTCTGCAGTTTGTGTCCTGTATCCCCCCGGTCCTGCCACTGTGCTCCTTGAGGAAGGGTTTGGCTCCGTCTCCTCCCTAACCCACCTTCCTGCAGCTGCGGGTGGCGGAGAGGTCCCCAACTGTCCCCATTGCTGCTCAGCCCCTCTCTCCCTGCCCCTCCATCACCTTGTGAGCATTTATTTGGGGCTGGGAGCCCCCGGTGGGACAGGGAGCTGTGGGGCCGGCCCCAGTGCCGGGCAGGGGGAGGCATCGCTGCCCTGCACTGACATGGGACACCCAGCCCCATGTCCCAGCCTCGTCCTTCCTCCCTGAAGCACCCACAGGGTTGGGCTGCTGGAAGGGGCTCCTTGAAACCCTCCCCTGTGTGCCATGTCTGGCTGTCACCAGCCCTGGTCCTGCGCCCCCCCTTCCCAGGGACCGTGGGAGGGATAAGTATGGGGATGGGGACAGGGACAGCAATGGGGACGGGGGAACGGATGGCAACAGGGACAACATCTACATGCACAGCCCTCCCACCAGCTCAGTGGAGCCCTGCTCTCACTTTGGGCACAGGCACAGGGGGATATTGTGCGTCTGCTGGTGAAACTCCATCCCTGGAGTCCTGCTGTCCCACCAGCCCCGCACCCGTGGGACCATCCTGCCTGGCTGGGTCTGCTCACGCAGGGGAAGAGGCGGCACCGCCAGTGAGACACGGCACTGGGGGCACCGGGAGGATGCACCCGAGGAGAATGAGGGCCTGTGCCATGCTGAGAGCTGAGCAAGAGGGAGATTAGCTAGAAGTATGGGTGGTAGCTCCCTAATTGGAGCACGGGGAGGTGGGGAGGTGGGGGGATGGCTGGCCAGCGTGGGTGCTGGCTGTCTCTCCCATGGGAATGACAGCACGCTGCTTTGGCGCGCAAACAGGAGCAGCAGAACAGGCGGATGAGGGAGGGATTAAGCTCTCATGTGAAGGGAGCATCACCCCCGAGCTCCCCAGGCCGTGCTGGGGAAGCTCCAGCTCCATGCTCCGAAGCACCAGCCGGCTGTACACCCCTGGCAGAGACCCCGTCCGGCAGCGAGGTGGCCGCAGAGTGACATCTAACGGCAGCGGGTCGGGAGGGGACACGGTCCAGCAGCCGGCCTTCCTCGCTGGGAGCTGCCACTTCTGCAAGCAAAGCCCTCCCGTGGCCCCCAGCCCCAGCTCCCCTCCGGCAGCACAGAGCTGACAGGACAGGGGTCCTCCTCTTCCCCCACCTCCTCTTCCCAGGCACCGAAGGGACACGTTTGGCTTGGGGACACCTCTGCCCTCTGTCCAACAGGCTGACGAGACAGACGCCGGGAAAACGGGGTGCTGCGACCACGGGCTGGCTCTGAGCATCACGTCCCCTATCTCCCACCTGCCCCGCAGCCCTGTCCTCGGACCAAGCCATCGCTCCACAGTGGCCACAGATCGGCTTTGGGGGGTAACGCGGAGGGGAGAGCAGGGAAGGAATCACACACCAACATGGGGGAGTCTCCAGGCGAACCAGCCCCTGCCCAGCCCCGCAACTGCCTGGTTCCTCCCGGCTCTCCACACCCCAAAGCAGGGCAATAAAATCCTTCCCAGCTCATCCCAACAGATACCGGCTGCATGTTGCTCCGGGTTTTATTTCCAGAGGAATAGCAGACGGGCATGCCTGGCACAGGGGCTGCAGAGCACCACGACAGGCAGCACCATGGGGTGGTGGTTTTGGAGGCAGAGGTTGGGGGGGGAGAGACACAGGAGGATGGTGGCAAAGGAGAGGCTGCCCCCAGGCTTGCACTGCCACGGGGAGATTATTTTTTTTTTTTTTTTCTGTGATGGGATTTTGCAGCTGCAGAGCCATCACAGCTTGCTGGTGCCTGGCACATGCGGCGCACCACGCGCAGCGGCGAGCACAGACCGTGCCCGGCGTGAGAACAACATCCACGGTGGGGAGACACTAGGGGCACAGCAGGGCAGGAGAGAGACAGAGGGGGCTGGGAGGGGATGGAGACAGGGCTGGGTTGCCCCCAGGGTGGTGGCTGCCAGCCCAGCTGTGGCTCTGCCTCCCTGGGGATGGGGAGTGATGGTGCGGGCTGCCTGGATCCAGCCAGGATGGGTCTGTGCTCTTCCACCACCAGCTGCTACAGTTGCTCCTGGGCCAAATAGCCACCAGCTTAAGAAGCTCCATCCACCTGGAAAAGGTTGGGGACTAGTTGGGGAAACCCTGCCCACAGTGGAGCCCACGGGGCCAGGGGAGCACCCAGAGCATCTGCCAGAGGGGTCAGCACCCACGTGCATTGTGAAGCCCCTCTGGGATGAGGCTGCAAGGGGTAATTCTGATCTTCACGATGCTCTGCCCCTCCTGCCCTTTCCCCGGCTCTGGCAATGAGATGCCAAGGCTGTGGTGGCAGCATGTGGCTGGGCTAGGTCCTGGCCGGTGTGCGAGCCTGGACCCGCATCCCCCAGTCCCATACTGAGATGATCTACAGCACAGCACACCCCATGGACCCTCCATGGGGACCCTCCAGAGCTCAGGGTGGGGGAGGTCCTCAAAGCTGGCCCCACCAAGGTCCCTACCTGCACCTGCTCCTGTTTGCTCCTCAGCTCGAAGGTGTCCTCAGCACCAGGCCAGTCCCAAAACTTCCTCATCCTGGATGGGAAGATAGGAAC